CAACAACAAAACAACAACAACAACAACAAGAGGGGCGGAGGCGATACCTGCGTCAACGGTACTTACCTGGGCGCCATAGTCGTGCTCCACGCTGGTGACCTGCACAACAACAGCAACAGGAACAACAAGAACAAGAACAACAACAACAAAAACAAGAAGAGCGGTACTTACCTGGGCGCTCTAGCCGTGCTCCACGCTGGCGACCTGCACAACAACAACAACAAGAACAACAACAGCAACAACAACAACAACAACAACAACAAGAGCGGCGGAGGCCATACCTGCGTCAGCAGTACTTGCCTGGGTGCCATAGCCCTACCCACGTTGGTGACCTGCACAACAACAACAACAACAATAGCAACAACAACAACAACAACGCCGGAGGCCATACCTACGTCAGCGGTACTTACCTGGGCGCCATAGTCGTGCTCCACGCTGGCGACCTGCACAACAACAACAACAACAACAACAGGGGCGGAGGCCATACCTGCATCAGCGGTACTTACCTGGGCGCCATAGTCGTGCTCCACGCTGACGACCTGCACAACAACAGCAACAACAACAGCAACAACAACAACAACAACAAGAGGGGTGGAGGCCATACCTGCGTCAGCGGTACTTACCTGGGCGCCATAGCCGTGCTCCACGCTGGCGACCTGCACAACAACAGCAACAGCAACAAGAAGAAGAAGAAGAAGAAGAAGAAGAAGAAGAGGGGCGGAGGCCATACCTGCGTCAGCGGTACTTTTCTGGGCGCCATAACCGTGCTCCACTCTTGCGACCTGCACAACAACAGCAACAACAACAACGACAGCAACAACAACAACAACAACAACAACAACAACAAGAGGAAGAAGAAGAAGAAGAAGAAGAGGGGCGGAGGCCATACCTACATCAGCGGTACTTACCTGGGCGCCATTGTCGTGCTCCACGCTTGCGACCTGCACAACAACATCAACAATAGCAATAGCAACAACAACAACAACAACAACAACAGGGGCGGAGACCATACCTGCGTCAGCGGTACTTACCTGGACGCCATAGCCGTGCTCCACGCCAACGACCTGCACAATAACAACAACAACAACAACAACAACAACAACAAGAGGTGCGGAGGCCATACCTGTGTCAGCGGTACTTACCTGGGTGCCATAGCCGTGCTCCACGTTGGCAACCTGCACAACAACAGCAACAACAACAGCAACAACAACAACAACAGCAACAACAACAACAACAACAACAACAAGACGAAGACGGAGACGGAGACGAAGCCGAAGAAAAAGAAGAAAAAGAAGAAAAAGAAGAAGAAGAAGAAGAGGGGCAGAGGCCATACCTGCGTCATGAGAATCAAGTCGATTTTAAACCTGGATTAATGTGGAGTGCCACAATTTTTTATTCGGGCATGTAGACGTGCTCTAAAAAAAAAAAAAAAAAAAAAAAACATATACGTATCAAATAGCTGCTCTGAGTCACAAAGTTGTTGAATAACTTTTTAATCCTCCTTAATATATGGAGGATTGGGTGATGGTGTCTTCCAATGATTAAGCCACCTCTCAGGGGCTGTATTGAAGTCCTTTGCTAAGACAATTTGAAACTCGTCAGAAATACGTCTTTTACTGTCCTGAAAAAAAATCTTTTTTTCCTGAACATCATCGGGACCATATATATTAATGAGACAAATCAACTCTCACTTTAACATAACTAATGAAATTATTTGTATGTGGCCCTGCTCCTTGTCAGATTCGCGACGAGCTATCTCAACTCTAAAGTACGGAGGTAACCAAAAAGCTAATCATGCTTACTCACTACGCACAACATGCGATTAAAACTTTTGAACGGTCGTGCAAGGTTATGAGTTCAATTATGAGGAGGGGAGTCCGTAAGGTGGGGTTCATGGATATAAATCAGATCGGGTCTTGTGCACCCTCCTACCCCATTAAGTTATTCACAATCGACCTCCTTTTTGCAACATTTGTTGTTGTCAATCCATTGACATTGAGGGACCTGAAATCTAAATCCGTTGATCAGGAAACACACCGCCATGATGAATTTTTACCATAGAAAGTTTGTAGCGCCTCCATCTAACCTAAAAGAAATTCAAGGTCCAATTGCGGCAGACATTTTTATAGTCTTACCCCATTAACCTTGTCTAACCTTGAGGTCGCCGTGAGTATACTTCAACATAGCATGAAATACAAAAATGATGAGTATACTTCAAAGATAAGATTTTTGCTACTGACCACACTACATTAGCCTTGATTCTCAACTTATGAAGTTCGAATAATGTACCACGTGAGTACCACTTCAATCTTGAATCCTTGTTATCCTCAAAGCGAACAAACATGTCCCTTTTAGTCATCTTATCTTTGTATATGTGGCATGAGGACCTAGATTGAAATGTTTGGAAAAGAAATCATGCAGATCCCTTATAAATGTTTTGCCCCCAAAGCTTTGGTAGTCTACATGGGTGGTCCACCCTCTTAATGTCACCCCCTATATTGATCTTGCTCAATCGGGGAAAGAGCAATTTCCCACCTCCCCACTTTTTTTTCATAGGGATTACCAAATTTCGTTTACGGGACTGTGCTCTTGCTGCATGAGCTTTTTCTAAAATATGCCACATCTTTTGACGCTTACTTGGATCTTGAGCCTCCTTGGCCTGTGCAGAATAAAACTTGCCCTTATCAACATGTATGTTCTCCCCCTGACACCCAGGCGATGAGGGAGAAGCAGGTTGAACATCATTTACACTGCTATTTGTCTAATCTACAACGGACACCTGTTCATCAAAGGAAAAGGCCGGTTGTACTCACTGGCCTCACGTGAACCCCTTTGTCTTCCATGTTAGTCTTTGACTCAGACTCCTCATTCTCTATAATTATTACTTCTTCATTTATTTCATTTATTTGAGCCTTTATTACCACTGATTGAGATACTGCGATGTCTAACCACTTTCTATCCATAGTCTTCTGCCCTAACCCTTACATCACTTACATCACAGGTAACACTACTACTATGGAGTCATAATTATCAGTATTAGACGTCGCCCCTTTAGTGGAGCGGGGATGGAAAAAAAACAACACAAAAGTCGTTGGCTCACTATGGGTCATTGCACCCTTATAGGTTGTCCACTATGTAATACCTTCTTCAGACTAGGACTACTAGTGAGCAGCGAGACGAGTTGTAAATGTGAAGCATCCCAAATTTCACGGAGCTTATTATTTTTAATTTTTTTAGCAGCAACTCTGCCGACGGTATAACCTTTTGATCCTCTGCGATACCGAGTTGTTGGGTGGCTGCATCTTCCATGTCAAAATCCACCGGAGGAGGGGTGGAGTCCACCTCCATCAGTGATGGTCCAAAGACTTTGTAGAAGGGATCAATTTCCACTGCAGACGAATCTCCTTGATTTTCTTTCAGACCGTCTTCTACAATGGACGACCCTCCTTCCTGAGAAGCCTGTAGGCCATCCCCTTGTCTTCCCCCTTGCTCAATTTGTTGAGATGTCTGTAACACCTCCATATCGGAGACTCTATCATTTATGGAGGCAACTTGCCCCCCCCCCCAATCTTTTTTTATTAGTATTTCTAGGGAAAATTAGGGTGTTGTCACAATTTCAGTTTGAAAATGCGTTTTAAACAGAGGAAAAACGTGAATGTATCCAACCCAGCGTTAGGGCCGGGTGGGGATGTGTTGTATTTGAGGGATACCTAATGTTGACTTAAAACTGAAATCGTGACTGCATTCTACCGGGGTAGTTACCACTTATTATTATTATGGAGAAACTACGTGGTGTCGGTGCGAATACCCTTACAAGGGTATCCGCCCTGGTTTGTGCAAGTGGCAGAAGATACTTTGGTTTAATGTTTAAGTATACCGCGCTAGGCGCGGTGGCGTCTGTGATTTATGTTGACTGGATGGTTGACTAGAGTAAAGAGTGCGTGGGCGCGCAGGTTTAAGGCGCGCGTGATTCATCCCCTGATGTTGATTACRAAACCGGCRCGGGTGCCGGTCTGTTTATTTYCATTTTTATATTAAGTTTTATTTTTGGTTACTCTTGATTAAACTAGGATCTAGGGGATACCTTTTTTTCGATGGCTACATTTGACCAAGTCGAGCGTGCGTGCGGAGAACGACCCCGACGAYGGCATCGGCAGCGACGGCGCGACTTCGTGCGGCGAGTGGGGTGTCGTAGGATGGCGCGCGGGACAATTATGGTACGGTATAAGCAAGCCGACGCGGGYACTGGGAGCCRCGTAGCCGGTTTTGTTGGCCCAAAAACRCCGCGCCGCACTGCCTTATATGGTACTYTGCGTGCGCARGTCTYAGGCTTGGGCATAGCCCTATAGGTCACGACGACGRAYTRTTACTATGGAGGTTCGGGGATCGAGGCCGACGGGCGTTGGCGTAGCAACTATAGTGGAKCRGCATGGAGGAGACCGAGGGGTCGAGGGCCCGACGAGGCTATCCCCCCCSGTTTTTGTTTACAGGCACAGCGGAGGGGGCCGATCCGTAGGGCTCKCCGTTAATTTTCCCATTTTACGTCTACTACTTTTACCTTTTTCTCCTCSRTTTATTTTTTTACTCGCGTCCYATCCTAAGGCGCGATATCGGGCCTAATGTCRGGCCACGGGAAGTATGTTGCATTCGTAGGGATGCCTRAAGTGYTGTTACAAACTGTCCTCGTGGGCTGCGCCGAAGCCGTGCCCGTTTTGCCTTGAGGCACGGTGTCGTAGGTGGGGTGCGGGACCRTGGTTACCTTTAGGGCCTATGGGCCTAGCTCAGCGGTACACMCATTGAAATATAGCCCTGAGCTCRAKCCYAGCCGGTTTTGTTTTGGGCCCGGTCAGGCGCTGGCAGCACCGTGAGGTGCCCTGCCACTRGRAGGAGTCCTCCGGGACATCCGTTAAAATTGGAATGATACAGAGAAGATTAGCGTGGTCCCTGCGCAAGAGTGGCCCGCATAAGTAAAGAGGTGAGCCCGTACGCCTGGGCCTTCATCCTTTTTCCCTTTCTGTCTTCTTTTTTTTTCTTACCTCGCTATTGCCTTTGCTCAATGAAATCGGTCGTCGGAGTAGGTATAGGGTTGAAAGACCAATCGGACCGTCTAGTAGCTGGTTCCCTTCGGAGTCCCTTCCCTCAGGATAGCGGAGCTGTTGAATAGTTATTCGGGGCTGTGGGTCGGGGCGGCAGGACGACGGGCGCTAACCGGAGCAGGTGGGGAGTAACGGGCAGGGAGAAGAGGAYCGGAGGGATGAGGCAGCYGACCGGCGGGTGACAAACCTCTCCACCCCCRAGCGCTATCAGGACGAAGCACTGCTCGGAGGAAAAACAATAGCGCGGTGTAGGCTGGYAGCCAGCAGCGGGCGGCGGCACAGTGCGGKGACGAGCAAGCGGGCGCTGCGCAGTAGGGAGGAGCGAAGTGCTACRGGGGAAGACAACTGGCGGAAGCAGCGGGGTGACAGGCGCCCACCCGTCGAGGCCAAGCGGGGTGGTGAAAAACGGTGCGCGAATCCGGACGGGAAGGCGTACCGGATGCATGCGAGGTGGGACAGRAAGAGCGGAGCTAGCATCGGGCGATGAGACAACAGGCAGRGGGCGACGGGCGTTGTGAGGAGGGGMGGCCGAATCTGGACGGAMACTCKGGGTAGGTAGCAGCGGAGGTAGAGGAAGCCAGAGCAAGCGGGAGGCGAGGTGTGACTGCGCACAGCGGCGTGGGGCGCTGTGTATAGGCGGGGARCGAAGGTTCGAAGGAGGGAATGGACCTGGCCGCGGGTCCGCGCCGGGTYCATTCGGAGGGAACGACGATGAAGGAAGGGCATAGCCCATCCGTTGAGRAACGGATTTGGGCGGGGAGAAGGGCGATCTCTGGGTTTTAACCCCGGGCGAATCCGATGGCGGAAGCGGATTAGCCAAAGGTGGAGTGTGGAGGGAGGCAGAGGYGAAGGAGAGTGCGCGGGCTATGGCAGGAGCGTGCAGAGAGAAAGGTGGGAGGYGAGAAAAGTGAAGCCCGCCCGATCCCGGATGGAAACGGGCGRAGAAAGAGCCGAGAACGAGGGTCTTCAACCATTGCGTGAGCTCGATTATAAGGTTAGTTTAGGTAGACAATTAGTAGATTTAGAGTTAGTAGGGAGATGAGATGCGCCGGGTGCATGCGCCAAGCAGCAGCGGAGCAGGCGAGGCGGAGCATGGGCACAGTGAGAGCCGAACGAACCTGGGCGTCGGCCTGTACTAGGTGCATTCGAGAATAGAGTAGGGACTTGCGGAGGTGAGGTTGCGTAGATTACCCGATTCCCAACGGAATCGAGTGATTCTAAACGCTAGGCGCGGGTTTTTGCCTATCGCTAGTTGGATGGCGAAGTCAGTTTGGTTAGGGAATTAGTAGTTAGTGAGCTAGGAGGATAAGAGTTGTGCGTCGGGCTATGGCGGGAAGAAGTGAGGGGTGGAGGTGGCGTGATCCACTCGATTGGCAATAGAATCGAGCGAACCCAGTGCCGGATCCGAGGTTTTAGGTGAGGCCGATCCCAGATTCGCAGTCGGTTTGGGAGAAAGGTTAGTAGGGAGAGTGTTAGAGGAAGGTCGCACTGCGCGGAGTTGAAAATTACTAACGTATCTTTCCGCATTCAAAGCGGAAGATTCACCCGAATTTACTCCTCCCGTCGGCGGGAGTAGTGTGAACAGGTGGGAGATCGGAGACTTACCTGTTGGCCGGTGCGTTGCTCAATCCATCGAGGGAAAACTCTTTTTCCCTCCCTCTCTCGCTGGCTTACTTTAACATGTAGCAGTGCACCCGTCCATTTTTCAGCAGTAGGTTCATCCGAGGTTGTTCACCTTTGACGGAGACAGCGGGGAGCCTGTCGCGGAGTTAAAGGCCTACCTATGGACCAGCGTGATTGGTCCGCGCTACGACTGGAGTAACCCCCTCCTCTTCTTCGTAAAGGCCGCATTACCGGAGTAACGTACATGCCTAGCCAAACAGCTGCAGATAGGATGCAAGACGCAGGCCTACTTGCTGGTCGACGTACGGCCCACTTTACAAAGCCCAAGCGGTAGTAGACGGACAGCGAAGGCGCTGGTCCGCTTGTGGCCGTTCTGCTTGAGCTAAGAGCGCGGTGAGTGATACTCTGCGCAGGTGTAGGGGCTGTTCCTGGCTACTACTGAAGTTGCGTGTCCAAGAAGCCGCTCCCCACGGTGCCTCTCAGTTGCTGCAGTACCCAGTGGTGCTCTGCTGTTGTGCGAGCTGCAGATTGTTTCAGCTGGGCTTATACTGCAGCAGCTGTTGTACGTGCTACAGATTGCTGTGACCGCTGGACAACACCGTGTTGCTGAACGCATCGTGTTCGGCTGCGAGAGCGGTGCTGTGCGTGCGCAGTCTCGCTGCACCACCCTATTGTGCTAACTGGGTTTTTTTGGGGTATTTAGCGTATGTTTGGCTGCTAATTCAGATAAGGTGAAAAGAAAGTAGTTCGACCGTAAGGAAGGCTACGATCGTAGCTTGGAGAGGTGGTGGCGAAGGGGGTTAGTGTCGCGATTCGGGGGTTCGTAAGTGGGGCCTGTTTCAGCAGTTTGACTTCGGTTTGACTGGCGGTGGCGTGTTCTGGCCATCATTACAGGGCCCTCAGGCGCGTGAAGGTAACAAGGCCCTCTCCTGCGAGTCCGAGCGCACCACTCTTGGATCTGAGAGTCCTAACCTACCTTTTTCTGCCCTTCTCACTCTAAGTCTGGTCTATTGGTTCTGAGAGAAA